GGCTACGTTTCTTAACACATAAGCCCCCTTTGAAAATTGTTCTTTGTAATAAAGGACTTTTTAAAAAAAAAAAAAAAAAAAAAAGACAACATGTTGCTTAGAGAAGGTTTGAAAATCACAATGAGTGCCTAGCAAAAGCCCTGAGCTTGTGTTGGTCAGAAGTCAGTTGTATTATTACAGCCATCAATCACCAGTCTGTGGTGTTTAAAAATAGGTCCAGGTGGCAAAGTAGCATAAACTGGCAATGCCTTGTCATTCCGACTGCCTGCTGTCACTCTCTAAAATAAGCTTGATCTTAATTCACTGCTCAGAGTAAATCAGGGTTTCAGTAGGGCTTCTTCTGCTCTCCTGGACTTAAAAGATGTTATGAACTATTTATGTAAGTACATTTCACACATGTTGGTTTGTTCTCAATTTTTATGAGGTTAACTGAGATTAACTGGTGGTTTATATAGGAAATATAAAGAGTATATATTTTGGAGGACACCTTTGTCTACAAATTGTAATAGGTGCCATTTAAAAGATCCATTTATAGTCCTGTAAAATACAAGTGTATGTAATGCAATAATCAGGTTTAAATAAAGGGGGAAAACCTAAGAAAGGTGTTAAGTTAAGGGTTAATAGTTCACTTGGGTGAACTGTCCCTTTAAGTTTTGAATATTTTAGGCTGTTGGTCATTATAAAAGACAACATGCTTACAATCCACTAGCTACAAAGATATAATCCACCAGCCATTTCAAGGTTTTTAACGTCATGGGATGTTGTGAAGCAGTACTTTTCCATTGCTATTGCTTGTGGTATAAGAAAACCTGTTGAATTTGTGCTGGTCAGACGCATAGAAACATACACAACAAAGACTATTCAACAAACTCTGCTCCTTTTTTATCATCATGATCTAACACGATCAATTGAGGATATGAAGATGAAGAGAACACAAGAAGTCAGAGAAAATAAGATAAATGAAGAAGAAGAGAAGCAGTGGGACAAAGCAGAGCATTTGGAAGAAATAAAAGCGGATACTGAATTACCAGAAGAGTACTATCTTGGGCTTGAGGATTTATCCTGGAACCTGAACTCACTGGAGCAGTTACTGTATATCAGCCTGCCAGCATGGATACAAAGAGGTGAGTAGCCCAATAATATACATGATCAGTCCAGATTCAATGCACTTCCAGCTTTCACTGGTGTTTCTGGGGTTGGGGAATCCTTGCATCAGAGCTTTATGAGGGCCAGCGGGCAGCCCTCCATCTCTCTTTACACCCTTTATATCCCACCTGCTCTACAGAAGGATCATGTCGGGCAAATGTTTTTGTGGTACAAGTTGTTCATGACTTAAGTATGACAAAGACTACCTAATGATATACAGGCCTGAAAAGTATTTAAATAGTTAAAGGCACAACATGTAAGATTTTTTTTATTAAAATATCCAAAAACCACTCGTTCAGCGGCCTCGTTTCGCTTCGACGGCTTTCAGCCTCACCCTGCTTCATTCTACTATGTTAATAAATCATTAGCTCACCCATGAACATGATTTCTGCCCAAGTCCCGTCGGATTGCATCGGCTGACAACTCCCATGATTCCATACTTGGTCACGGCGTCATCAAACTACGCCTTTGTTTCTAGTGGCGAAAAATTACATATTGTGCCTTTAAGTCCTGTTCAAAATAAAATATCTATGCAGATTGCATTATATTGATCAAAAGTGACAGTAAAGGCATTTATAATGTCACAAAAGATTTCTATTTCAAATAAATGCTGTTCTTTTGAATCTTGAAAACAATGCATCACAGATTTCACAAAAAATATGAAGCAGGCAGCACAACTGTTTGTTTTCAACATAAGAAAAGTTTCTCGAGCAGAAAGTCAGTATATTAGCATGCTTTCTGAAGGATCATGTGACACTTTAGACTGGAGTAATTATGCTGAAAATTAACTTTTGCATCACAGGAATAAAGCACATTTTAAAATACATTCAAATAGAAAAGTTATTTTACAGTGTAATAATATTGCAAAAATAAATTCTGGTAACTAATTTTTCTGATAAATATTCCTTATAAAAATAATGTTTTAATAGCAATTGTATTAGTAGTAGTAATAAGTAATATATTTCTGTCACAGTTTCTTAATGTTAAACCGAACTTTTATTTTGATGGGTTGCTGTGAAGTCCTTTAAGTTTCTGTTTGTTTATGATATGACGATTCTGTGTTATACTGTAAATTTTGTTTTATGACTGGATTCCGCGATTCCGTCCGCATTTTCCGCATCACGGAAATCATAGGGCCCTAGAAAACAGTTATTCAAATTGTAATCATTTTTCACAATATTACTGTTTTACTGTATATTTGATCAAATAAATGCAGCCTTTCATTGCAAAGATGGCCCAGAAACATTATTTATTGGAAAAGCTATATAGCAGCATTTGTTTGCAGATTACAATTGATTTGATATTATTTCATGAAACGATATTTAACACTAAAGTGTGACTTAAGTGTTAACGCCTTTGTTTCTAGTGGCGAAAAATTACATATTGTGCCTTTAAGTCCTGTTCAAAATAAAATATCTATGCAGATTGCATTATATTGATCAAAAGTGACAGTAAAGGCATTTATAATGTCACAAAAGATTTCTATTTCAAATAAATGCTGTTCTTTTGAATCTTGAAAACAATGCATCACAGATTTCACAAAAAATATGAAGCAGGCAGCACAACTGTTTGTTTTCAACATAAGAAAAGTTTCTCGAGCAGAAAGTCAGTATATTAGCATGCTTTCTGAAGGATCATGTGACACTTTAGACTGGAGTAATTATGCTGAAAATTAACTTTTGCATCACAGGAATAAAGCACATTTTAAAATACATTCAAATAGAAAAGTTATTTTACAGTGTAATAATATTTCACAATATTACTGTGTTACTGTATATTTGATCAAATAAATGCAGCCTTTCATTGCAAAGATGGCCCAGAAACATTATGTATTGGAAAAGCTATATAGCAGCATTTGTTTGCAGATTACAATTGATTTGATATTATTTAATGAAACGATATTTAACACTAAAGTGTGACTTAAGTGTCTGAATCCTTTTTGGGACAGCTGTAGATGTATGAACTATATACAGTCTAATGCACAGTGATTAAACAATAATATAATAATGATCAGAATTATACTTTGATACATTGCTTTCATGTTTGCACATGTAAAACTGAAATCTCTCTCTTCAGCTTTGCTTTGCAACCTAGATGAGCAGTTTGGCATCTGGACCTTTCACAACAATATCCTGCCATGTCGTCTCATATCCTACACCCTACTGCCATTCACTCTGCCTGCTTCAACTGTCATCTCATTCATCTATAGGTCAGATCTTTAGTCTAAATGTGTTGTTTGTGTTGCTCATGTCTGTGTATCTTATCAGTACATGAGAGAGAAAAAATGTAAGCACCTATTGTCATTCGTGTGTGTGTGTGTGTTTTTTTTGCATGTGTTTGGACTCCAAACAGATTTTTGTGCTGGGTGAAGAAAATCCCCCACCAGGCTCTGAATGCAGGCAGGGAATTCAAACAGGAAGTAATCGCACATCTGCGGTTAGTCTTTGCGCACTTGAGAGGACTTATGCCGAACAGGTAAAACTAGTAGAGCAAAGTTTTGCATACATGATTGACCGTTTAATCAACATGAAATTATATTAGCAGCCCATTTAACTTCCATTATGTGACATTATTTCTGAATTGAGAACAATGTGAATGCATATTTAGATTGTAGATTTTGAACTTATTACCATTATCAGATGTTCCTGAATTTTTCCAGATTCCTGCTTTCGCAAATTCTACCTTTGGTCCCCATGCTTTCTCTGTTTCTTGCACCCTGGTCCTGTTTCCCATCTCTTCCTTCTACTTTGCTTCCCTGTTTCTCTTTTCCTTTACTTTCTCTTGCTTTGCGTTTCCTGCCACGCCGTCTCTCCACTTCAACCTCAAAGAAGCAGCCCGAGCGCAGGAGCCAGACTCAGACTCTCTGGTCTAGACGACGATCTCTCCTCTGCTTCCAGCTCACCGGATCCAGCAGTTTCTGCAAAAAGACAGATAGCATCCTTACAGATGCAGAGGCACAATCTTCAGCCTTCCTCTTGCAGCTCAACGTAGAGTTGGACAGCCATCCTGAACCCCTACAGCAGGGCTGTCCAAACTCGGTCCTGGAGGGCCGGTGTCCTGCAGAGTTTAGCTCCAACCCTAATTAAACACACCTGAACCAGCTAATCAAGCTCTTACTAGGCATACTAGAAACTTCCAGTCAGGTGTGTTGAGGCAAGTTGGAGCTAATCTCTGCAGGACACCGGCCCTCCAGGACCGAGTTTGGACAGCCCTGCACTAGATTGTGAGGGAAGTTTATTACTAAACACAGAAGTAGATGAGAATCTCTCGTCTCCTTTTATTTCTTACATGGATGTACAAGAGGAAGACTGAATGACTGTGTTATATTGCAGACAAACGTCTCTGTACTGTAGAATAGTAGAATATTTGGGCAATACTCTGAATATGGCAATGTATACTGTACATATCAGTGTTGTTGTAATAATTACTTGAAAATTGAAATTGAGCTGAAATAAAATATAAATATTAAAAATGAGAAATGTTGCTTTGGGAATGAACTGAAAATCAGTTGAAGCATTTATGTTACTAAAACTAAACTAAATCTATATAGAAATAACGCATTAATAATAAAAAAATCCAATAAAAATATTTAAATCACATGACAAATGTTGTAAGAATTTAGTAAAAATGTAATAAACTTTCCACAATGATATTCTGTTTTATGTATGTAATTCTGTTCGAATCTAATAAATGCATTACCAAGTTGGACTTTGACAGCTTTCACAGTGCATATTGTTTATTAAAATGAAAAATAATTAAATTAAGAATGGATCAAATAGAGCAATGAAAATAACATTGCACAAATCAGCATTAAACTATTTCAGTCAATAGTTGGCTGCAATAATATTGACTGTTTTTGTCATTCATAAATACATTTGCAATGCTCATATTTTAAAATTTGGAATAATTTAAATGGATCATTATTTGGTATATAAACATTTTACATACATAGATTAATGTAACCATACATATTCTTTTAAAATACAATTTTACATAATTTTAACTTAATTTTAGAAGGAAATAAATGAAATAATTGACAACACTTTACAAAACATTTTTATTCAATATATTTAATATTTAAAGTAAACATTCTGCATATGCCTGCATATACAGTTACAACATATCTTTTATATAAACTATATATATGCTTGGTGAGTAAAGCTTATAAATTTGAGTTATAATATATAGATAAAAAAAATTACATTATGTAAATAAAATAATTATTGCAGTTGTGCAAATACATCATAATTTGTCAACAACAAATTCACATTTAGATTTCTAACTTCATTCAAGGTTTTTATGATGTAAAACTGCATAACATTTCACATAAATGTATAAAATTTTTTATGATATTACCAACCCTGTTCATTCTGGTGTGTGTTTCTTGTGTGTGCTATTGTGCAAAATGAAAAAAAAACAAATCCTATTTTAAAAGCCTTCGTTATTTCTCCTTTTGTGTTGCTACATTTCAAATAAATCCAGCAGTAAAACTGTCAGCTAGAAGCTCACGCTTCTACAAGCTTATGAATTCTTGCTCAGAGTTCTGTGTTTTCCCGATCCTCTGCTTTAATGTCAGAGAGATGCGGATGGCTCTCGCTCATGTGAGTGAAGCGATCTTGGAGATACTGGTTCCCGAAGCCCATGATTTGGCCTGTGGCTTGGCGGTGTAGATTAGCCACTCTGGCTGTGAAGTCCAGAGTGAAGGCGAACTTCACCAGCTCTGGTGCCACGACAGGCAGCTGGGTTTTCTTATTGGGAACTTCTGACTGCACATATTGATCAGCCATTTGCTGGAAGAATCCATAGGTGAATCCATCCAGATAATCGCTCACGGTGCTGTTCTTTTTCAGCTGGGGGAGGAGGGGAGATCAGAAAACATTAGTGAACTTGGTGGATCTCCTTTAAATAACACATTGCAAGGAACAGCAATACTTGGGTGGTTTTCATACATTTCATACATGTTTGAAACGGAGCCAAACATCTGCAATACTAATAAAAGGTCTCAGTAATATTTAATGATGTCAGAAGGAATGAGACACACTTACCTTTTTATGTATTAAGTCTCCTTCCTGTTTTATAAGTTCTATGATTCTCTTTATAACCTCTTCTTTTGAGACTAATTGGAGAAATATGATAGAAAAATTAGCAAATATTATAGAATACATAATTTGTGCTTTGAGCAACAAGAAAATCGCAAGAAATACCTTTGGCTAATGTCTATTTGCTCATCATTCAAAACCCGCATACTGGGTTTCATTTTTTAGAACACCAAAGATACATTTTGGAATCATTTTCACGCAGCTTTTCTGTACAATAACAGGTTATATTGACGTTTTCTGTCAAAGTCTAAAGGAAAAATAACATACAATCTGTACTGTATTCAAAGACTTCTGAAGCCTTTGTGTGAGAATTTGCAGAATGGAAAACAAGATGTGAGAAAGCAGAGGGGAAGTTCATAACTAAATGATCATTCTTATTACTTAAAAAAATAATGAACTCTTTATGGCACTTCATGGAATTTTTGTCTTTCGTGGTCACTATGAATTGCTCTCCTTTGTGTTCCTCAAAAAAACAAAAAACTGCATATTGTTTTAGAACAACATAAGGATGAGCAAATAATTACAGAATTTCTTTAAATTATTAGTACATGCTTTAAATTTGCATAAGATTTATTGCTTAATTGATTGCAGTTTATTGAACAAATAAAAAAATCTGTCAAATTCAGTAGTTTCAAACTTGTATCTTTGGTAGAACACAAAAGAAGATATTTTGAAGAATGTCAGTAATCAAACAGAACTGGAATGGAGACTTTTTCAAAACACCTTCTTTTGTGTTCCACCGAAGAAATAAAGTGTTTAGAACGACATGACGGTGAGTAAATGATACAAGTATTTTCATTTTTGGGGTGAACAATTCCTTTAATCTCATTCTGTTCTGTTGTCTTGTGTAATTCAGAAATTCAGACACAACTAGCTGAACCCTATACTGGTTTGTGGCGTTCCATCTATGTAATATGTAACCCACCTCTTTTGCATTATGCAAATTGTCTATTATAATAACACTCACCATTTACACCATTCTGGTCTGTTATTTGGTAAGTGGCATTGTCATCTGCTGGACTGTCTTTCACTTCATGCACAATTTTCTCCAGTTCCTCTGACATTTTCTCATAGTACGAGTTAGTGGGTTCCACTATCTCAACAGCTGTTAAAAATCAATTTTCATTAGAACTTTTTTCCAATATATGCAAACATCAAACTAATACAAATAACATACATAATAAAGTTGCACATACATGGAGAAGATCTGAGATACATACATTTTTCAGTGGACATATCTCCACTTTGCCTGCATTTTAATGATCTCCTGTGCAACGATTTCTTTTTCGAAGACTTTGAACGGCGCAGGTTGATTTCACTTTTTGATAGGGTGTCAGCTAAAGGCAAACAAGAGATTTGGGGTGTTGAGGGTTGGGAAAGAGGTAACTGTTCTTTGGTTCTCTGATGATCTTGTTCTTTTTCACTGTTTCCTTTGGAAAACCAGCTCAAGAAATTCTTCCATACAGTGGGCTTCTTTGTCTTCTTGCCTTCTTTGTCCTTCCTTTCCACTGTACAAGTCTCCAGATTTTCTAGCACATTTGAATGCATATCTCCAGGAATAACTGTACTTGTTTGGGGAGGTAAAGCATCAGTGCTTTGCCCACCCTCCTCCTTGCCCTTATCCAAACGTTGAAACCACTTCTTGGGTTTGCTATTGGACTTTTGCGATGCATTAGAACTATCGTTGCGGCGCAGGCTCCCTTTAACTCTCCTCTTTTTGGATTTCTTTTCAGACGACATCTCCTTTTTATCCAGTTGTGGTTCAGAGAAGGGCTCGTATCTAATGTCCTCATCTGAGATGGAGGCTTGAGAAGTCAAGTTCAGAGATGTATCGCTGGAATGTTTGCGATGTCTTGTCTTCGGCTCTGTGATGGCAACCCATTTGCGTGTTCTTTGCTCCTGTCTCAGAGGACATTGTGATCCATCGTTAAGGCTGAGACTTCGCTTCACATACACCTCCAGCAGCCGTTTCTTATCCTTTTCTCCGACTGACAGAAGCTGAGGAGTGGGCTGTGTATTCTGCTCAGTCGAAATGGATGCCATGCTGTCATACTGCAAAGAAATACATCAACATTTGTATTAGTGGTTGACTAATATGGGCTTTAATCTCCAATGCTGATATCTACTGAGCAGGGATCATGGCTAATATAATGCATATATGTAACCACAAAACCAGTCTTAAGTCGCTGGGGTATATTTTTAGCAATAGCCAAAAAAAAAACATTGTATGGGTCAAAAAAATCTAAATATTGAGAAAATCATCTTTAAAGTTGTTCAAATTAAGTTCTTAGCAATGCATATTACTAATTAAAATAATCAATAATTTTTGATATTTATGGTAGGACATTTACACAATATCTTCACAGAACATGATCTTTACTTAATATTCTAATGATTTTTGGCTTAAAAGAAAATTTGATAATTTTAATTAATTTATTTTTTATTTATGCATTTAGCAGACGTTTTTATCCAAAGCGACTTACAGTGCATTTAGGCTATATATATTTTACCAGTATGTGTGTTCCCCGGGAATCGAACCCACGACCTTTGCGCTGCTAACGCAATGCTCTACCACTGAGACATAAAACATTTTAATCCCTTTAATAAGCATATATACATATATACATACATATATATACATATATAT